AGGTGTAACTACAGTCACATCACAGTAACATGTAGGTGTAACTACAGTCACATCACAGTATCATGTAGGTGTAACTACAGTCACATCACAGTAACATGTAGGTGTTAACCCTGTCATCCTGTCAACAGATCAGCTGAAGATGACATTAGTCAGGACGCTTTGATTTGTACTGATTTATTTATGATTGGTTTTGTTCATCATGGTCTCAGATATGTTTCCTGTTTCATGAACGCAGCGTGTGAAGACGCTTCATTTAAGTTTAATCCAGAGTGAAATATAAAAGTTATTCTGATCTCAGAGTCATTGAGCTGAACCAGACGATTGTGGACTTTTGTTTTGTCTCCTGTCGTCCTGCCTGAGCTCAGTCAGTCACATGACACCTGTGCTAGAAACAGGTGAAATAACCTCACCTGATTGGCTGACTGACTCTGGATTAGTCCTTTAATGTCTGCCGACCCTGTTCATGTCACTGTGATGATGTCAGAATCTCACCTGCTATCAGAGAGATCCACACGCGGTTTGGTCCAGGTCCAGGTCCAGATCCAGGCTGGAGGACTCGGGGGCCATCCTGGTGCATCCTCCAGGCCCCGGCGTCCACCATGCTGCAGGGCGACGAGCAGACTGCGAGGACGCGGCAGGGCTGAGCTGAGGAGGTGTCAGGTGACCTGGATCAGGTTGCTCCTGGTTCCAGAGGGGACAGAGGTGTGAGTTTACAGCCGGCTCAGGTTTCAACACACATTCAGGTCTGAGCTGGACTTTCTGCTGTACACACTGTACATCAGCTCACCTGCTGCAGGTGAACTAACGAGGTGAGAGGGACAAACATGACACCACGCCACTGACATCACGGAAACTAGAAGGGGACCACAGGAAGTCCTGGTCCATCAGGAATGGTTCAGAACAGCTCAGCTGTCCTCATCCTGCAGAGACAAACATGTCCAGTCTCACAAAACCACCGTCAACATTCAGAGACACAAACAGCTGATGGAAACGTCAGGACACACACTGATCCAACTGCAGCTCAGGTCCTGGTCCTGGTCCTGGTCCTGGTTCTGGTCCTGGTCCTGGTCTGTCCACACACACTGATTCGGATTCTGTCGGCTCAGGACGAAGTGTGTGTGTCAGGTTGGTAAACACACACAGACGTTCACCTGTCACCTGTTTTACAAACGTCTCTGAGTGTGTGCTGAGCCGACAGGTGCGTCCTGGTAACTGTGACATCAGCAGGTGTCCACAGCTCCTCCACTGTCCTGGCAGCGTCCTCTACAGGCTGCAGAGCTCATCACAGCCACAACAACAGCATCATCATCATCATCATCATCGTCATCGTCATCATCACAGGCTGAACAAGAATAAGAATAAGTAAGAGTTAGTTAGTAAGTAATTAAAAAACTTTTGAGTCAAAGAACATTTTGTTTTGTGGATGAAAAGCTCCTATAAAAGGAAGTCCCGCCCACTCACATGACCTGCCAACAGCCAGAACAATGTATAAACTAATTAAATGTCACGTAAAAACCTGGTCCCTTTTACTAGCCCGGTGTGGCTACACATGTTGCCAAATAAAGGCCTGTCTCAATTAGAGGCCTGGGGTCCGTTTCACAAAGCAGGTTTAGTGAAAACTCAGAGTCTGTTAACCCTGAAATGAGGGAAACTCTGAGTTTTCCATTTCAAAAAGGGAGGTAACTCAAACCAGAGAAAGAGGGGTAACTCCAGCCTGTTTCAGAGAGAGAGAGGTAACTTAAGCTCTCGGTCAGTTACCGTAGTAACAGACTCTATGAACCTAACCTGGTCGGGACCAGGTTTTTCTCAATGAACCTCGAGTTTCTCTCTGTCTCCGCCCTCTTTCAGAGCCACACACTCCATATGATTTCCTCATTCATTCAGTCAGCAGGCGAGTTTTGTCGTAGCCTAGTTCTGCCGTCTGTCATTTAAAAAAACAGGGTCAGTATATTAGAAGTCCATTAGGCGCAGTAGGTGGCGACTTTTTTCACTAACATGGCATGTCCTTTTGATAACGATCCCGTGGATGAAGATTGTGCAGAGAATTAAATATTCGTCAGGAGATGGTTATCAGACCGCGCATAGATGTTTTAGCATTTCCACACAATTATCTTTATGAGCGGTACCGTTTCACGTCACAGTCCATCATCTACATACACAACCTAATCCGTCCTTACATTTGCAACATTACCAATCGTAGTCATGCTCTCACATCCCAGCAGATATTGTGTGTTGCGCTCATAGACTGTATAAAAATGCGCTGTGTTTCTTTGCAAATGGAAGTTTTTGTACAATGTCGGAGATGCTGAGCACTTGAGTAAGGCAACTGTGTGCGGGGCGGTCAGAAAAGTGTGCTCGTTTTACGGCATCTGCCATCTTTCTGTTGGCTGAGTAGAAGTCTGTGTTAGTTTAAATAGGCTTAATTATTTAACAGAACATGATAAAGATGAGAAGACATTAATGTGTGTGAAAACAGCATTATGTTGGGGATAAAACAACTGCACAGACAAACAGCCACTTAATATTTACTTTACAATGTAAAACATGATCAAAATGAGGTTCCCCCATGAGATTATGCCGAGGTCTTACCTGTTTGAACAATGTTTTTATATTTCATCCTAAACTGCTGCCAAGTGCGCTTCTCCTCCGCGGGATTGCACCTAAATGAAATAAATTAATAGGCTACCATTCAAGCAGTTTTCCCCTGTAATATTATTGTGATTGCAGAGGACTACATTTAAACTTAAGCACTCTCCTATGCCGTCTCCCTCTCTTTTGCAGCTGCAGCGGTGTTGCACTTCTTTTTGAAAACGTGTGCAAACTCGCCGTATGAGCGCATTAAGATTTCTAATTCTAGTGGGCTGAAAAACGCAGCATGAACGTACATGAACGTGCAGCCGGACCGGCTTGTAAACAGTGGGCTGGAGATCAACACAGAGAGAGGGTGTGTGAGGTCATGCTATACTCCAGATGAAATTACACCTCTAGTTCTTCACATAGCATTTTTTTAATTCCTTCAATCTAGAAATGATGAATTTCGCTTATTGCTCCTTTAAAATGTGTCATCACAGATCTTCAATAACAGAAGCTGCGCCCATGGTATTAAATGGTATACACTTCCTGTCTCCTGAGTGGGCGTGGTCTTCTCTCCCTGCATCCACCCACCCCATTTGGAAGTGCAGTAAACGTAATGTGGGCGATGAAATCAGATTCAAAGACATTGGGTGTAAAATCAGATTTTAATCCCTCAATCGGTACATCACAGGACATGTTCCATGGCACTGTGAGGGAGCCACCATGTTGGATTGTTCCTTTTAATTAAAGGATTAAAATCCACTCACCATCCTACACTGACACATGCCATCATCTGAATATGGAAAAGAACAGATTAAGTCCATCTGGAAACATAAAGGGAGAAACATTAGGAAGAAATGAGTGACTCATGTTCTCACATCTCATCTGAGGGTTGATTTTGTTCTGCTTCCTTTACTTATCTTATCTGCGGTTGTTTCAGAGTGGACACTGTCATTATTGGTTACAAATTAGATTTTTTATAAAGAGAGTTGATGTTCAGACATAAATATACAGATGTTTGTGATCTTACTGTACGTCTGGTTTTGTATTGTTTTCTGTCTCTAATTTTACTTTTGTTTAGTCTTTTTTTAAGATTGTGTGTCAGTTTTGTTATGATGGAAAGTGATAATTGTATATCACAAATAAATAAACTCTTATTCAACACTAAACAAAGAACAAATTTAATGTTCCTGGTTTCATCAGCTGGTTTAATGTCTGATACGACACAGTGTGACATCACGTTTGTTACTAAAACAGACGTGTCTCTAAACAAAGCTCATTTTCTCCTGATTCGTATCTGAGTGTTCAGAGGGGCGGAGCCTGTAATAATGGCTCCAGTGTTGACTTTGGGGCGAAGGAAATGCTTAGAACATGAAAGACCTCAGCTCAGAGCAGAAAGCGCTCCACGTCATCTCCGCGTTTCTCACATTGTCCAATGGGATGATGTGAGAGGCGGGGCTTCTGTGGTGGTCACGACAACAAGTTTACAGTTGGAAAATGACGGAGGAGAAACTGGTGGTGGCGGCTGATTGATACCCAGAGCTATACAATTTTACAAGCTCTACCCAGGTGCATTATGGGAGCTGTAGGATGTTTCATGAGGAGTTAAAGACACAAAGACTTAAAAACACAAAGTTTTATTGATTTATCGATTTATTACAGTTTGAATGAAACACCCTGAGACAGAAGCTGAGAGGGTCGGCCGTGACGGAGCAGCTGGACAGAGACAGAGTATGTGTGTGTTCAGTGTGTGTTCAGTGTGCGTGTATGTGTCTACAGGTGTGTGTTAGCCGCTCCTGATCCTTCACATTCGATGATGTAGGTGACGTTGCTGCTCAGTTCGTCCTCGCACTTTGTTATTGTGAACTTTGCCTGGAAACACAAAAATAAAGTATAAATACATCATACGTGTGTGTGTGTGTGTGTGTGTGTGTGTGTGTGTGTGTGTGTAGTCTGTGTCTGACCTGAGTGAGCTGCTCTGCAATGTGAATGGCCGTCTGTGTGTGCAGTGTCACGGCGCCGGTTCGAATCCGAGACGTTCCCTTCGCCAACGCCATGAAGATGATGAGCTGAGGAGGAAGAGGAGGTCACAGGTCAAAGTGCACTGTATGTCCATGGGTCACAGTGATGTCACAGTGATGTCACAGCATGTTTCACCTGGTCCTGCAGGAACTCGTCCACACAGCCGTTGTGTCTGATGTTTCTCAGCAACATCTCAGCAGCTTCTATACCAACTTTATCTGCATACACACCTGGGACACACACACACACACACACACTGAGTGTGAAGGCTCTGATTGGCCACACCTGGCTGAGACAGGTACATCACAGAGCTGTGATTGGTCACATGACGTGTCGTCTCTGTTCCAGCTGAACATGTGACATTCTCACCTTTCTTCCCCAGAGCTGAACCTGCGAACACACAACCTGTCGACGACTCAGCGATAATTCTGAAACACAGAGAGGACAAGAGCCAATCAGAGAGACACCTGCTGCTTCTTCCTGTTTCCTGTGGCAGTAACATGAACAGAGATGTTTCTTTGTGCTGTTTTCAAGCAGAAGGCTGTTTTTTATCCCAACTTCCTCTCGGACAGTGAATGTAGCAGTGATGTCAACAGGTGGGCGGGGCTTACATGATGCCGTTGCCATTCCCGCAGGCCTTGTCTTTCTCCTGCACGGCTGGGATGTTGATGTACAGCTCTTTGATTTCCTTCCTGATGGTTCGAACAGCAGCCGCCGACATGTCTTTAGCCAGCTGAGGACAGATTATACCATCAATATGTCACTGATCAATATGTCACACTGATCAATACTAGAGCTGGGTTGAAAAAATTGATTTAATCGATCCGAATCGATTTTCCTTTAAATGGCACAATACTGATTCATTAATTAAAAAATCGATCTTTTACTATAACCATTTTCCTCCGTGGACGTGTTGTACAGCCGGTAGCAGCCTGCAGCAGCAGCAGTACTATCAATCCAGGTAGTCTCGCAAGATCAGCATTTAGCACCTGAGGTCATGGAGAGAGATCTCGCGAGACGGCCGGACACTGAATGAAGACAGAGCAGCAAACAATGGTGGGAGCGCGTCCACTGAAGGCATGGGTCTACGGTGCGAGTATTTGCACTCGTATTTTCTCCTAAAAATATAACGCTAATAATGTACGCATGTTTATTAAATGCACATCGGTTTCACAGAAAAGATTAAGAAATACCACTAAGCATCAGCACACTGCTGACTGTAGCCTCAGTTTGTGCCTCATACACATCTGCTGGTAAAGTTAACTTAGCGTTAGCAAGCGTGATAAAAGACGGCAGAGAGGCGACGCTGTGCAAATAAACCAAAGATTTATTATTTTTCTGTAGCAGTAAACACATGGGCCGAAAACAAATGTGCTAACTAACTATGCTAAAGCTTTACAAGCTATTCAGGGCTGCCGACGATAACGTTAACATGACAAACAGCAAGGCTAACGTTACGGCTAACAAGCTAACGTACTGACGCTACTCAGACACACACACACACACTCACACACACACACACACACACACACACACACACACACCCCGGACAGCCTCTCAGTCCTTAGCCGCTAACGTTAGCTCATGTACAACACAGGTACCACACAGAAACTTTTACAAAGGGTCATAATGTGCTGCTAGTGACTGTCAAATCGCCAGCGAAGTTGTTTACACTGTGGACACGGAGAACAGCTGCCTGCTGTCATGGGACAAAGATCCTCTGAGAAGAAAGACGGTTCACTCTGCTCTGCCGCCAGGATCAAACTGGGAGGCAAAGATCCTCTCTGAGGAAGAAGGCTCACTTTGCTGCAGGGTTCACCTACGTATATTGTTTCTCTTCTGATACAGTCAATGTGTGCATCACAACCACTGTAGTGTGTTGCACAAAAGCTTTATAAGACGGTTACAGGCAGCAAACTTGTGGATGTCCTTTGTTTACATTTTTTGTAGCCACTTCATTTACATTGTCTGCCTTGTGATTAGATTTAATTTAAAATATTTATTTTGTATGTGTCAGGTAATGTTAAATAAATGTACATGATGACTAATGTGCTGCTTTGGGGCCAATTCTTAATGTGAACAGTATTTTTAATAGTAACGCACCAGGTCAGAGGGTTCCTTGTTAAATATACTTTGTTAGTTCTCAGAAAATATCTTAATATCCAAGCAAATTTTGTATCATAATTGAGATATACTTGACTGAATCGATATTAAACTGAATTAAATCGAATCGAATCGAATTGTGAATCTGATTGAACTGAGTCCTTGAAAATCAAATCGAATCGATCTGGAAAATCTGAATCGATACCCAGTCCTAATCAATACATCACTGATCAATACGTCACACTGATCAGTTTGATATGAAACTTCTGAATGTTTCTCATCATAATTTAAGAATCTAAAATCTACAGAAATAACCGTGGTTATGACATCACTTCCTGTGTATCAGTGGTAACTTTACCTTGAATGGCAGCACCCCGGCAACGAAGGCTCGGCCGTAGATCTTGGTGATGTTTCCTCTCTCTGTCATGACGACAGGCTGCAGCTCTTTGACCGGGCTCACCGTCACCGTCACCTCACCTCCACCCTTAGGGTAGAAGCCCCTGAAACACACACAGTGACACACACATAGTTACACACACACACAGTTACACACACATAGTGACACACACACAGTGACACACACACAGTGACACACACACAGTTACACACACACAGTGACACACACATAGTTACACACACACAGTGACACACACATAGTTACACACACACAGTGACACACACATAGTGACACACACATAGTGACACACACACAGTTACACACACACAGTGACACACACACAGTGACACACACA